CACACACACACACACACACACACACACACACACACACACACACACACACACACACCACATTTCTGACATATTTGAAGTTGGCTTTTAATTTTGCCTCTTGGGTTTTTAGGAATCCACATTAATGAGTCATCCTGAAGCACCGTTTCCAGCTTCTCAAGCGTAGCCGTTACGCAGCCAAGCTTAACCTTTGACCTCACCATGGGAAGTTTGTCGCAAGAAAGAGTTTAATGTTGCGTTAATTAAAAAACAACAACAACAACAACATATCCCAAAGGTTTTGTTCAACAGCTCAGCTCAAATATCTCATGAAAGATGCGTATAAATTTATAAATAAATTGTATGGTGAATGAAGTTCTTATGGCTGCCAGGTGGGCAACCATGTAATTGCCTATGTGCACATTTGTGAGTGTGTGCTTGTGCCTATAGTCTGTCCGTCTGTTTTCTGCCACTTATCCTGGGTCGGGTCGTGGGGCAGCAGCCTAAGCAGAGAGACCCAGACTTCCCACTCCCCAGCCACTTGGGCCAGCTCATCAGTGGGAATCCCAAAGCGTTCCTAGGCCAGTCAAGAAACATAGTCCCTCCAGTGTGTCCTGGGTCTTCCTCTGGGCCCCCTCCCAGTGGGTCATGCCTGGAACACCTCACCAGAGAGGCGTCCAGGAGGCATCCTAACCAGATGCCCAAGCCACCTCAACTGGCTCCTCTCGATGTGGAGGAGCAGCGGCTCTACTCTGAGTTAGCAGCTAACATACCTCTGAATGAAGTGATGGCTGCAGACACCGGCGGCATTCTGCTCCTCCCGACCGCAGACGGTTTAAAATCCACTTTTTACATTGTTGTTCTGTGTGCTTTCTGCATTTTTCATCTTTGGTGAATGGTAATCAGTGTTATCATTGTCATAGTGTTGGGCAGAATCATGTGGAATCATCAGAATAGAATTTTGCTGGTTATTATTTGGCACCTGGTGATGTAAGACGTGTGGTACCGGCAGCCTCAGCAAATCTTTAGATTCTGTCGAAAACTCATTCATCTTCATCATACGAGTCATGTCTGACATATTTGTGAACAAATTATTGTTATATAACTTGAAATAGGACCTAAATCCATACATTATAGACTCTCTACAGTAGTTTCCTCCATAGACATTTTACCCACTGCCCTCCAGCGGAGATCACTCCGCCTTCGAAACCTGACTGAAACCCAGCTATTGAACTCTGTGGAAGCTCAGCGTCCGCACTGTTTAAAGCACTGAGAAGCTGTGGGAATGAGGGAGAGGAAAGCCGCGCCGTTACCACTGATAAGAAGCTGATTCTGAACAAAAGTTGAGCGCGATGTTGCGCATATTTAGTCAATGACATGTACACAACAGTATATATTTGATCTCTTTATTTTTTTTTACATTTTAGGGGAAGCTGAGCTTCTCTTGCAGTCTTAGAGCAATCGCCTTTGCTAGCAGCAGACCCAGTCGACCCAGCAGCAGACCCAGCAACTGCTGCAGCCAGCACAGGAACAACCGGAGGGGAGGGTGGGTGACAAGCTGCTCAGCCAGAACCCTCTGAGCAAAGCTGAAACAACAGGTCTGGACACCTCACCATGACGTCCACAACCTGTTGGCAGAGCAGGTAAAGGAAGGAGGAAGTGTGGGACCACCGGAGGATCATAAGCAATCCGCTGATTAGTGGGTGTGTAACCTGCTCTTCCTCCGGTGGCAGAGACGGGACCGGTTCCTCAAAGGCAGGAGGCGCAGAACCACTCGAGCAAGGTCCGGGTGATGAAAAAATATTATCTGCCTTAGAAAGGCAGGCCAGAAAAAAACAATCCTTGCGGGCTGGGCACTTGGTCTGTTCATTCTGTGAGATTCAGGCAGGGAAAAACCCATGGCGCAAAATGGCAAAAAGGTTTTAATAATAAAGTCAAAATGGCTGGCAAAACAGCTCCAAAGCTTACCAAATTCTCAGTAGGAACACAGAGAGATCACACAGGCTGAGGGAAGCAGCACAGTTAACGGACAAACACAGAAGACAGAACACAGAATAATATAAAGGCAAACTAATTAAGGATAACAAGAAACACCTGGATGAGACACAAGAGGAAACAGGTGAGCATGGGTGGGGCTAGAGGCAAGATAAGAGGAAAGAGAGACACAGGGGAACAGAGAAACACTAGAAAATAAAAGCAGTAACACAGATCATGACATGAATATTTTCACACAATACAATTTTGCCCAAACCTATTTCCGAGATCACTTTACAACAACTAATTAATCCAGTACTCAAGTTTTTGGACTGGTGCAAAGAGAAAGGGAAGAACCGGAGCACCTGGAGTAAACCCTGACATGCACAGACTGGATGTGATGAATAGTGAAAATTCTGGCAAAAATATTCTAAGATTCTGAGAGGTTTCTGGTGTT